ATTATGCATCTTCGTGGAATTAATATCAATCTATTTCTAATTAAAAGATAATCAAAGAAAATCAATATCAATTACCGTTGATAATTAATGAAAATCCTTTATTATATGAGATTTGATGTATTATTATTAACCTTTGCTTTGTGATTACAAAAATCTGTAAATTCATTAAAATTAAATTAACAGTGTTGATTATTTACAATTTATTGTTTAGTGCCCGATTGTTTTTAATTGGAAATTATTCATTTTTGTACTTTATCTTTGGAGTATAATGCTTATTATCTGTTATTGAGTTGAAAACTGTTCATTACTGGTAGGGTGAACGTTCCAGTTATGGACAGTAGACTCAGTGATGGACAGGTAGGAATTTCAATATAAATTATAAACTTCCTTATTGATTTAAAGGTTCCAGTTGTTCCCAGATTGAAGAACAATGAAGAAAGTTCCCAAAAGTAAATTTTAAAATGGCTGTCATTATTGTTTCTATAGTGAGTTGAATACAGATTTTAGATTTTTTTTTAAATATGTCTATTACTGGTACCGACCTCTGTCCATCATTAGAACTACTGAATTTCGGGGTGTCCATCACTGTTGCACAAAGGTGTTTTTTAAATGGAGAACATATCTGCATAACTGATTTTTTTTTCTATTTTAAAGTATTAAATAGAAAAAAAGATAAAATAAAATAATTCCAGCGGTATAAGCCAAAAAATACAAAACTTTCCTTAACTATGTAGTGCAAAGTATTGAACATAGCAAATACTCTTTCAAAATTATTATGAGGTGCCGAAAACCAAGCGAAAATATGCTGACACCAAACACATCTGCTACCATCAAAGACAGTGTTATGGTGGCGATCAGGTACCTAAGGACAGAGGGCTGACCTTGGGGAGACCTGGGGAAGATCTTTCTTAGAGTGACTGGTAACTAGTAACAGATTAAATAACTGGTTCCTTTTAGGGTGTGGCCAGTTAAAATAATGTAGCCGAAGTTAAGAACCAATCAAAATCATCATTGCCCCACCCTTTACATTTGTATACAATCTCGCTTGGTCAACACAGAACCGGGAGATGGGCGTCTTGGCAGAGTTTGGACCTAGGCTTGACGAGTAAATGCAGCGATGGAACGACCAACACAACCTAACCAAATCATATTTAGAACCATAGCTAAGTTTTTATTCCCAATAATAAATTTACTAATGTTAAAATATTTCATGGCTTAATTCTCAAAACAGTCCATCTCAAATCATATCTTCACAGTCGTTTATTATATTCATTGGATTATAATTTTATTTTGATTATTATAAACATAATTTGTACATTAAGATTTCCGCATAATTTGTATATACAGTTTATTAAACATAAGAAAAATAAGTTATTTAGTAAAGTTTATTTTAATTCTGCCACCTATTTACATCATGATGATCGCGGTTAATGTTGGTAATTAGAAAGCATGATTAATACAAAACAGCCTTTGAGAAAAGAAATTCAATTCATTAATCCTTCAACAATCAGTATTTTATAGACTAGCTGATGTACCCATCGTTGATGGGTGTATAGTTAAATTTTGAGATGGATTTTGTATTATGGGGGAGGAGGATCCAAATTCAATTTCATAAAATTGGGTCGGGAGGGAGGAGGGGGGAATTGTTTAGAATTTTTTTATGGTGGGGCTGATGGAAGTCAAGGTTTCGCAATAGTTGTAACAAAAGCTTTGTTATTCGGCTATTTGTTTAGACTTCCACATAACTAAACCGAACACCGATACATTAAATTTGTTTAAGTGTTTTTAATTTTCATTTAATATGAAGCGAGGAGATTGTGGAGTAGATTAATTTATCACAAAGAGTTGTAGTCTCTCCACTTCTTTAAACCCTGCTGAGTTTATCGCTGGCAAGATAACCAAAATAACATTGGACATTGAGTCACCTACATCCGTGTAAAATTGGAACTTGATGTGAATATTGTGGCGGAAGGGTGAAATTTTTAGTTTTTATTCCTGATTTCCAGCTAATCCATTTGGCTAACCCTCAAAATGTATACGACAACATTTGTTAGGCTCGGAAAGTTCAATTAAATGGCACCTTGAACGGGAAGATCGGACAAAGTGGAAAAATGAGTGTTACAGATGTTCGGTATTCCGGATTTTTCCCATCGAGTTGTGATAATTTTTTCCATCAGTTGAGTAGTGCAACTTTTAAATGTGGCTTACGATAGGGTAGGTTGGGATTAAAATTGAATTAAAACTAACCGGGATCTTTAAACAAGTTACTCAAGAATTCATAACTTTGATTCCATTCAATATTTCGTTTTCATTTAAAGCCTACATTTTAAGTCAAGTAAACCTTAAGGTAATGTCAAAAAGTCTACAATCAGCCATTGCCGCGCTTACTCCTGACCAAATTTTGTTGGACAATACGGACATCCAGACAGATAAAAAATTGTTTAAAGGTGGATTTGGTGTCTAATGTATAAAACGGAAAGATAACACGAAACGATTTGAATCTATTCAATGTACGGACAAAACTTTTATTTTATTTAGTAAAATAGATATTCTTTAACCTATAAGAATATGTTTATTATTAACATTTATCATCAACATTAACTGATATCTCTAGAGAAATTACTCAAGAATTCATAACTTTGGTTATACTCAATATTTTATTTTCATTTAAAGCCTATGTTTTAAGTCAAGCAAACCTTAAGTTAAAGTTAAAATTTCAAAAGTCTACAATAAGCCATTGCTGAACTTACCCCTGACAAAATTTCTTTGCTATGTGGACATACAGACAAAAAAAATTTAAAAAGTGGATTTGGTGTCTGCAATGTATGAAACGGAAAGATATCAAAAAACGGGTTGATTCTATTCAATGTACAGACAAAATCTTTATTTTATTTATATAGATACAAATTTTATTAAATATTTCTGGATAATTATCATCAATAACTATCCAGTGACATCCCGAGTAATGTTTACCCCAAAACATAGCAACTTTAATGTCATCCCTTTACCCTAGAGTGTCTATTCATTACTGTAATCATATTTAACGATAATTCAATATTTAAAGTTTTCTTTTAGATATATATCTATGTATACGAAAAAACTTTCCCTTTCTTCAAATTAGAGTTGCCTTTTGTTTCCCCCTAGCTAAGGGCTCGGGCCAGGGTAAAAAGGATTGAAGGAAGAAACAATAGAGTGACGCAGACATAGCTTTGATCTGGAAGTATGGCCCCGCAGTAGTTCTTTTAGTCTCCATTTTCCTCCTTTTTTGTTTTTAGCTTTTGTAAAAAAGGCTTAATGTCAGACCGCTGGAAGGTGAACCTTTCCGTTTGATACTTAATGCAAGGCTCTCGTATGTCTGTTGTGTGGGCGAGCCTTCAACCCAGTGCCTCTTTCATTAAGTGGGACTCGATATTATTAAGTTAAGAACTTTATTCAAAATAATATTTGGCGTTGATGGAATAAAAGCACTCAAGCGACACGAGAAACTTCGACTGGTGCGTTACTTTAAAAACTTGTAAATAGCATGTTAAAAGTTAATTTTAAATAAGTTGTTTGGCGGGAATAGTGAATATTCCTTCCGCACTGGATATAGACTTTTTGAGGATGTTTAACTGTTGTTGGCAATTAGGGAACCTAATACTTTTTGACACTGAGTGAGAAGAAATAATAAGAATATATATATATGAAATGTGGGACTTAGTAAACACACTTTGAATGAATTGACTCACCTGGTTCATTATTCTGCAATTGTGAGGCCTATGGGACAACTAAATAAATAAATGACTTTTCACTCCTGTCTAACAAAACAATCTATTTTACAACTGTAATAAGTGAATCTATTAAAGTCTTATAACTGTAGACTTGATATTCTTGGTCTTCAATGTTCAGCCTTTCTCATCTCAGATAACGTCCTCTCGCCTTCGTGTCAAAGCCTAAAGTGCCTTCTCTTCTCTCCAACGTCCTTCTTCAGCTGTTGCTGCCTGCTCCGTCCTTTTCCTTCTTTCTTCTTTATCGATTTTTTATCGATATGAAACTTTTCAATGAATAATTTGTCCACAGCATAATTGAGTACAAAACATTTTGCAACCTCACATTCCTATATATTCCGTCTCATTCCCTCACACAATGTGACATAATGGAGTAATTACAGGAGGATGTCTACTACAAACTGAAATGTTTTTATCCTATAATAGAGAATGTTCATCTAAGCTTCATAGTGCAAATGCTCTTTGATCATGAATAACCTTATTTTGCTTGCCCAATGAGGCGAAATTTGGACGAAGCTTTTAAATATCGTTGGATTGGTCGCGGTGGTCCAACTAGTTGGACTTCGAGATCTCTAGATCGCAAAGAACTCGATTAAAGTTTATGGGAATGGTTTAAAGTTATACAAAGCAAAATTACACTCTCAGGATGATTTAATTCATCGTATTAAAAATGTTGAAGGCATCATTAAAGAAGGAAACTCGAGTATTGAAATCTAGATGAATTTGTAATCCGTGTTTTCAAAGTTAATATACGTTTTGAAGTCCCCAGAATCTAAATAACCGTCTGAATCCAAGGACACAAAATAGTGTGCATGTAAATATCCTATCCCAAAAAATAAAAGTCATATGCAATTCAAATCATGTATTTGAAGTATTCGTAGTAAATTATAACAACTCCTCCCCTAAAATCGGCTAACCGGAATTGGAACTTAATAAAACCGATTTTACTCAAATTTTCTATTCCCTCTAAAATGGTTGTAACGACTTTATTAAATTGTCATTTCAGAGTATAATTAAGTGGTTTCTTAATATAAGACTGATGTTTTCCTCATCGAGAAAGTATGACAGAGCTTAAATACAGAGCACAAAATGACATCTATTAAATTACATTTATTAAGGTTTATTTATAATAATTAACAGATTTTCATTGATAGAAATGATAATAAAGAGCTAAATATAAGCAACAAAACTATCGGATAACGAAAGGAAGAATTTATATTTTTTTGTTTATAGCAAGAACAAGAAAATGCAAGTCGAACGCAGAAATCCAAGGCCTCAAACGCCAAGAAGTGACCTACGGGTAAGTAAATTTTTTTTACAAGTTTTCATTAAAAAAACTATTAATATATTTTATGTCAAATTGATTATCATAAATTTTTTTATAAAGTTAAATTTATAGGATCGGAGAACTGAATCATTGTCAATATTTAATAAGTTGTAGGAAAGTTGTGTAATTTCTAAATTTTAATAAAACCAGATTAGTTTGAGAAAAAAAATAGCCACAAAAATAATCATCTATTTTTCTAATTATTATTCGAGAATAATCTATACTAATCGGAACATTATAATTTCGTTTTAATCACTTCAAACGACTAACGGCTTTTAAATCGCCATTCATTATTAGTATTTTTATTTTATTTGTCATAAACGAATTAACTATTATTTTTTTAAGTAGCGAAAATTCTTTATTGAGATATATTACAATCTGTCACATCTAAGGACAATAGTAATAGTGGTAAAGAGTAGCTCATTCACACTGTTTACAATAAATAAACAGCAAAATAATAGTACTAATAATAATAATAGTATCATAGGTAAATGAATAACTTAATTTAAAATAACATTTCCATAAATAAGTAAAACTTAAATTATTAGGTTATTGTGAATCATTTTCCTTTATTATTTCCTAGCTGTTAGTAATTTTACAGTAAAACCCCTATCTATGCATTAATTTCCTCGAGTAATTTCTGAAATATATCTTTACGATAAAAAATATGTTTAGTATCATGCGTATGCGAATTCTATGGTTTAATATCATCTATTTCCCGACCACAAAAACCTTGAAAATTTATTTTTAATTGGATTAATGATACCATATTACCTGTCGCATACACTTTACTTCATAGAAATCAGACTGACAAACAATCAAATTCATTCCTTCATGTTTAAAACGCTTGTAGAAAATTGCTGTTTCTAAGAAAAACTTTTTTCTTTTTTTTTTTTTACTTCGATTAGGTAAACTTTAACGGTTAAAGAGAAGACTTTATACAAGTTAAATTGAAATCGGTACATCCGTTCAGACAATACAGTCTATACGACACAGATCAATCAGCCGACGTATTGAAAGGAAAGAGTGAATAGTAATATCGAGGTAGGAGGATCACCCACGAAATGCCTCTGACATGGATTTCAAATTTTAAAAAAATTGGTCCAGTATTCTTGGAAAAAATGCGCGGCGGACGACGGACAGACAAATGTTTGTTTTATTCGATTTTCGAGTTTTACGTAGCCTGAAACGTAAACCTCAAATGTTTAATGTAGGAGGAATAACATTTTTTAATTTTCCGGACGATTGCAATGATTCATTATTGAAAATAATAAACGAAAATAAATTAAAGAGATTCACCCTTATATTCAACACATACAATTTAATATCAAATAATGCTACGAACTTGATTGCGATACAACATGAAGGGTTTCTCGATTTATTTAAATCCATTACAATATTAAAACCATCATTATGGACTGTGAAAATGAAAACCCGATGCATTCAATGGCTCTTTTAAATCCGATGAATCCAGGTACTCTGCCTTTTCATGGAGTGTAATCAAGGAAGTAGAAGCCCTACATGTTGCCTATTCCAGGGATTACGGTCCAATCACTCTTGCGATATTACTAAGGATTTCATGGATGGATGGGTAATCACCCTCAGCTTACATTGGTCTGTGATGCATTATAATGCATCTAACATACACATGAGGATGGGGTGGGATTATTTGTTATCGAATACGTCCCATCATTTTTAATGTAATTAAGTTGAAGCAGAATAACTGCAGCCAGATTTATTGAAGCGAAAACTTCTTTAGTGAATTGGGTGAATTGAGTAAAGTCGGCTGAAGTCAACTAATGGAAGTGTTTATGCATATGGATTATAATATCTCAAACACTGAAGATCAGACATGCATATTGTTGGCAAAGTAAACGTTCATAATTTTATCCTCATTATTATAAGCTATTATTCAGAACTGTATCTTAACACGACGCCGTTTTAGAGACGTTAAAACGGAAAAAATAGTGCCGAAAACAAAATTATAACGAGTTTTATTGAAGATACGGATTAAAATATCTCAGAAACTAAAAATTGGACCTTCATACTGTAAGCAAGAAAATTGTCCAACATACCATTCTCTGTGTAATGAAATATTATTCACAATTGTATCTTAATATAACGCCGTTTTACAGACGTTAAAACGGAAAAAATAGTGCCGAAAACAAAATTATAACGAGTTTTATTGAAGATATGGATTAAAATATCCCAGGCACTAAAAGTCGGAACTGCATACTCTAAGCAAGGGGATTGTTCAGCATTTCATCTTCTCTATAAAGAAATATTATTCAGAATTGTATTTTAAAGCAACGCCATTTTAGAGTGGTGAAAACGAAAAAATGGAGTCGAAACAAAATGATAACGAGTTTTATTGAAGATATGAATTAAAATATGTCATAAACTAAAAATCGGACCAGCATACTGCAAGCAACGAAAATTGTTTATCATTTTATTCTCTTTGTGATGAGCTATTATTCAGAATTTTATCTTAACGCGAAGCCGTTTTAGAGAGGCGAAAACGGAAAAATGGAGTCGAAACAAAATTATAACGAGTTTTATTGAAGATGGATTAACTCATCTTAGAACCTAAAAATCGGACCTTCATACCGTTTGCGAGAGAAGTGTTTAGCATTTTATCCTATTTGTAATAAGCTATTAGTCAGAATTGTATCTTAACATGACGCCGTTTTAGAGACGTTAAAACGGAAAAAATAGTGCCGAAAACAAAATTATAACGAGTTTTATTGAAGATATGGATTAAAATATCCCAGAAACTAAAAGTCGGACCTGCATACTGTAAGCGAGGGAATTGTTCAGCATTTCATCCTCTCTGTGATGAAAAATTATTCAGAATTGTACCTTAAAGGGACGCCGTGCTAGAAAGGCGAAAAGGAAAATATAGTATCAAAAACAAAATGATAATAACGAGTTTTATTGAAAATATGAATTAAAATATCCCAAAAACTAAGAATCGGACCTGCATACTGTAAGCGAGGGAAATTGTTCAGCATATCATTCTCTGTATAATGGCTATTATTCAGAATTGTATCTTAAAGCGACGACATTTTCGAGAGGTAAAAGTGAATTCGAAACAAAATTATAACGAGTTTTATTGAAGCTATGGATTCAAATATCTCAGAACCTAAAAATCGGACCTTCAAACCGTTTGCGAGAGAAGTGTTCAGCCTTTCTTCTTCTTTATAATAAGCGATTATTTGTAATATTTCATATTATTATCTCGCCTTCTTTATATTTTCAATACCACCTTGGTTTTTTTTTTTTTCATTTTTTAACTGTTGCTGTGAGGTAACTATCAAGGATTTGAAAATACAACTCTGAAAAAAATATATAGGGTTATCTGGCTACAATATCCTACAATTAGAATATTCTTTATCATTTTCTGTAAATTAAAAATAAAAATTAATATTTTCATGTCCATTAGTTGCACTTACCTCCATGCGTTTGGCATATATGAAATCTTACTCTTAGATCCTATTTAAGAGGCAATGTAAATGACAGTGGGCCAAGTGTGTTATAGCTTGTTTTCACTGATGCTGCCATCATTATTTTGTATTTATTTTATCTTAAACCTTTTGGGATGTGCGAACTTTTTCGTGGGTCAACGAGTGATTAGAAAAGTTGGTGAAATTTAAAATTCAGGTTTTTCTGTGATTTCTTGATTATATTTAGCTAATCTGAGAAAGATTTACTATGGAGCAATCTATCTATCCATGGCTGCACTTGCCCTGTGTACGCATTTGGACCTTTTATTATACAAAAATGACGTGTAGTCATGACTTTATTTTTTTAATTATTAACCCCATATATTTTTAAAAACACACATTAAACTGTATAAAAATATAAAGTTTGGTTATCCTGGGTTGAAAGTTTCATGGTTGAACTTTAATTGAGTGCCAAAATGTAACTATTTTTAAAAAAACAATCTATGTATAAGCTGGATTTTTCTAGGCTCTTTGATGGGACATTAAATAAAATGTTCTAAAATTACAAACTTTGTGGTTATTAGGACAATAACTAGCCGTGGCCATTCTTCATAAAATTTAAAAAAAAAATCAGCTGGTTTATCACATATAGTTTAATAAAATGTATTAATTACAAACAATTTTAATAATATTTTTTGCAGGATAGTGGTTCTATATCAACGAGGCGTTATTTAGCTCGGCCAAATTCAGCCAAAGTAGCGGAGAAGATCTCAGCTCGTAGGAACCTTTGTAAGGAAATATCACTAATATTATATCCATTATTATACTTATAGTTTATATTATTGAAGGAAAGAAAAACTAAAAAATACTTTAAGGATATCATAAAAATATAACAAACCTAACCCTACTAACGTTGTGTTGTAACGGTTCTACAAGTTAGGCCCCATTCGGACAAAAGAAAAAATCACAAAGATGCAGATCGATGACACACAAGCAGTACATATTATATCAACATTTTTAATTTTTTTTAACAGAATAGAGAAAGTTCATCATTCATTTATTTTAATATGGTCTGATATTATTTTTTTTGTCCAATTAATGCTATTTTTGAAGAAACTTTTTAAATTTTAGGCTGGGGCTTCTGTCTTTATTGTAGCATAGAACCAGTAAAGAAGGTTTTATTCACCTATATTATATTCTTGAAGAAATTAGTTTCATTGAAGTTCTACAGTGGAAACCTGGAATACATTCTGCATATCTTTTTTCTGGAAGAGGAAAATGCGAATTTAGAGACAGCACTGCGTTGAACGTCATCTAATGTGTCTGCCATGCCTAGCCGCAGACTTCGAGTGGGGAGAAGGAGTGGGAGAAGCAATCGCCCATCCCAACAATTTAGAATAAAAAATAAATTAAAATTAATAATAAATAAGCTACATGAATGGATACAATAGGAATACTATCTTATCTATTATTATATACATTATCTATTATATATATTATCTATTCAGAAGATAATAAAAGTCGACTAGCTGCCTAGGTTAAGGACTAGAAGTAGTTATGCAAATATTATCACGACCTAAATGTTGCTATTATTTGATTTTCCATTTATATTCTAAGATAAAGATATATATTTCATTTTATGATTCATTCATTCCGCATGCGCACCACTCCATTTTGAGTGACATTCTTATCATATTTTTCCGCAGTAAAGTTGAAAAAAAATATATTTAATAAGTGTTAATATATTTTATAGAGAATATTTTATGGTAATTTTTGCGTAACTACTCAGTCTGTGAAAACGTTGTATTTTTATTTTGAAATTGTATTAACCAAGAAGACAAAAAATTTCACCTTCTAATATTACCCAACGAAACGTCGTCAGAAGTATAATAAAAAATTGTTGAAAATATAAGTGCCTCTTTAATTCTTGAAGACACCATAAGTAAGAACATTATCATGTATACCGTCCCCGCCCTCATCCTGTTTAATGTATACAATAATGTAATATATTAAATTGTTTCGTTAAGATTTTTTTCAATTGTACGGGATTTGCTAGAGTCAAAAGCCCTCCCCCCCCCAATCAAATCGAAAGTCTGGACCTTTGTTGTCATGACCTATATCTCAATTTGCGCCAAGCCATTTAACACCATATTATAATGTTTTGACGATTGATTAATGGCCTAATTATGTAAAATATTTTTTATATACTATTATTTACCTATTATAGTTTTTTTTTGTTTTACAGTAGGTGGAAAAATCAGAAGCAATTCAGCTCGTACTAAAACCGAAGAAATTGCAGAACCTCTACTTGAAGTTCCTGATGACGAGGCACAAACGGCACACAAGGTAGGATGCCCTTGGCTGAAGGCAAGATCCAGATCAAGGTACACCGTCGGAGTCACCGAGTCCAGCTCTGGAATCATGCACCCCAAGCCCTGGGGCGCCAGGAACCCGACGGACATCCCCTGCTTCTGCCACATCCCCCACAGGAGCTCCAAAGAGAACACACAGATACAAAGGCCACCTAAATCCGATATTTCACCACCCAGCAAGAACTGCAAAGCTAAAATCGCTGATATAGTCGACAACTTCGGCATTTTCTTGGAAAGGAGGAAGATACGTATTTCCGAGAACGAAGTGGCTTTTCTCATGAAAAAGATAGAAGAAAAGCTCCAGAAATTCGTAGATAAATCCAAAGAACAGAAGGACCACCATAGTAAGAAAAATAAAAATGTGCGAAACCATTCTCCGATACGATCGCATACATCGGTGCCTCAGAAAGCGATGTCGAGGGATCAGTTGGCAGATTTACAGAAGGCAAAGATGTCAGGGCAGGGTCAGTCTAACATTCTCGGAAAATTGGAGACAAAGAAGTATCTTCTAGAACTGACAGCCGACGAACAGGTACCGCCGAACTTCAGGAACATCCTGGGAATGAACCCGACGATCATTCATCAGCACCCAGATAAGATGCTGATCGCGATGGACGAGAAGCAGCAGCCCTACCTGGCGATTCCCGAGGACTACCGGCACTACACGATGAAGACGATCGACATGGACAACTACACCGGCGTTGTCCACCATCAGGCGGAGAACACAACCTTACTCCTGGCTACGAACCCTTCTGTGGCGAGGAGGGCCATGCACACTCCACCACCGACCATGATGCAGAAACCTCACCACATGGCTTTTAAGCAGATCCGAAGATCGTGAGTGCTGTCTTCAGTTGTCCTCGGGAACACCAATACAACCTTTGTGCCGTCCTATGATACCAAAATAAAACTGAAAATCCATTTATTTATTTCTTATTAATATCGATTATAAATTAAGCGTAGAGATTTCCTGACGACCTGACGATCGGAGGGAATTTAGGGATTGATTTAATTTAGGGAGCTAGAATTTATCAAATTCTAGCTACTACCCAAAAAAATAATTCCGCTTTCAGATCAGGAAATGTGTTGTTTGATTGCCTATCGTTTGAAAACGGCGCATTCGATTTGATCCAAACTTGGAGGAACTTTAGAGAACAGTAAAGAAATAACTTAGTATTAATTTAATTGAACTCCATTTAATAATTTAAATCAATAAAAATAATTGTTAACAATATATTGGCTGTGAAATATTGTAGGCACTGATCAGACGGTGGGCGAGTTAGGCTATTACAATATTGCTATAAAATTTTAGGTTTTATTCAAAAAATTAATTGATACTGCATTGTTTGGTCAATTCCAAACGTCAATGGCATTGGATTTCTTGTAATTTTCTTATTTGTGATTGTGTTTATCTCCATTGAAGTTTAACCAGTTCTTCTTGTTCTTGATTTCCTCCTTAAATGTCGAAATTGTGTAAAAATCGCAGATATTTTTTAGCTTAATGCGTTTTGTTCTGACTGAAGAAAAGTATTCTCGTTTGCTCTGAACAAACAACAATAATTTTTCTTTTCAGGAAAATCCAACTATCGCATCAATTGCCCTTCAAAACTATCTCTCCATCCTAGAAAAGTGATTAAAAAAAATACAAGATTAAAATAACCAGCAAGAAGTCAAGTCATGTTAGTTTCTTCCTTCGGAAAGATTCCTGTCCGTCAGTAACAATAGACAACAACACAGTTCCCTCAAAAACTCATGTACGGTATGTCAGACTATACTTGGACAGAAAACTCACCTGGAACATATACACCAAATTAAAAAAAAACAAAAACAAGAACTGACAAGACGATACAAACAACTGTCACATATTTTGGGCTACAGTATCCATTAGTGTTGCCCAAAATCGTTCTTGGTCTTTGCAAGACCAACACTAGGAATGGTAAAAAAAAAAATCATTTTTTTTAATAAATATTAACGCAAAATAGTTACTAATACTCGATAATCTTAGTTACTATACGTAAAGAATTGGTATAACCAATATACTTTTGCATTTAACCCCTCTAATTTTTCATTCGGGATTATTTAGGTTTTTCTTATCTAAAAAAATACAGTAATATCTCTACAGTAATAAGCTAATAATTAACTGCAAGGCTGTCGTGAGACTCTCGCGTAAGACCAAAACCATGACAAAGACTGAGTTTGTAAGACCAAGACTCGTATCGGTCTCGCATTTGGACTACACTAATCTCCACCTAACTTACAAACCAAGCGACTAATCTACACCACCATACTAAGACCTATTTAGATGGAGCAGAACTTTAGGGTTCCACAAAACGCATCCGCAATCCAAAATACTTCGTAAAATAGAAAATTCTCACCTTAGTTTATTCAAAATCACAACGACATGAAATTTAGATATTCATTTTTTTTTTATTCTTTTGCTTTGCGTTTATTTTAGTTCGTCGGTATTTTTTAAAATATTTTATTTACTGAAATAAATGAATTTAATTCAACTAATTGGTCATTTTGCCAGAAGAGGGAGCAACAAAAGCTAGAAACAAAAGGAACACGTTTGGTACGACTCGCTCGTTAGCAGTTGCCTATTGTTTTTCAAGCCATCTATGTTATTTTTTTTTTCTTTTCTTTTGTAACATGTCATATAATAGAGTAGTTTTTTAATGTATGGTTTTTTATCTCTATTTTGAGTTATAAAAACTACTGACCAAATTTATTGTTGAAACATTTTTCTAAATATCTCAATAACCTAAAATCAAATAGTAAAATGATGTTAAAAACTCAATGGAGGTGGATCAAATGCTTGAAAGAATAAATTAAATAGACAATAGGTAAATATTGTTTGGCCTATTTTGATGTACAAAATGTATTTACAAATATCATCTAGATGTAATAAAAACAATTGAAAAATACTGGGATACAATAGAACCTCACAACCAAATTAAAGGGTATTATGGAAGATATGGGTTAACATATCTCAGAAGTAAAAAAATTGGACCTGCATACTGTAAACTGGGGAAATGTTCAGCATTAGACCCTCCTCATAACGATCTATTATTTATAATTTATATTTATAATCTCGGCTGTTTTTACTTTTTGGCATATAAGAAACGAATCTTAAATAGGACAAATACAACTAACAACGCTCAAGACAGACCGAACCCAACTAACCCCAGCCATCTTAGGATTAAGGTGTTTGTGTCAAGACAAGTCTATTTCAAATTACTTTAGGATTAAAAGATTTACATTTGTAACCCCTTATTTGTAGTTAAGATCCCTTAGTTCAAATGACAATATCAAGACATAACAGAAAATTTATAGCAATAACATTGAAACTTTAACATTCTCAGTAAAACCGTGATTTTTATATACGTTTCAAAAAGAAGAAAAATGTTATGTATTTTTCGCTTATCATCAAAAACAGAAAAAAAAAATCCTAAGATAAATTAATTCCATGATATCCATAATTATACTGGAAGAAAGGTGAGGTAACACAACTGAGGAAAGTTATAATCGACCAGCTCATTGCTAAAAAAAAATCTGGTGCGCACAACACACAACTTTCACTTAACGCTCTACTTTGAATAGAAATTATTTTCTGGCAATGCTTGGCTATTATAAAATTTTTTGAAGTGTATTTTAAACGGAGCTAAAGCTTAAAGCTTACAGATAACAAGTCATTAAGACCATTATAATTACAAAATGTTTATTTAATATATCGACGGTAGGCAATCAAAATTTAGTCACTCCATCTGCTTTTACAAACCACACAACTTTTTTTGCTTTTATAAACCACAGAATGACTAACTCCAATTTCAACATTTTTGAGTAATGTCAATTTAGTAATATTTTTAATTGAAAAAGTTATCTATACAGACAGTGAGTAATTTGATTCCGGAGGTGGTGATTGCAGTGCTGAAATATATAACTGAGAAAAAAGTATAAATTTAGGTACTTATTTCTTATGAAAGATGTTCTGAGGTAAGATACTTTATTAAATATCTGTAAAAAAAAAAAACGTTTTTTTAGTCTCAACAATTAAAAAATTATATTTTAAATTTATACAAATTTTCGCCTCTTCAGGGAAAACAACTAGAAACCATATCTTTCCTCCTAATTGTCCGATTTAAACGCATTTTGTTTTGGGTTTTTAGGAAATTCTATAAATTTTTTAAAAAACTATATACAATATCAACAAAAAAGTGTATACTTTTTGAGTTATTCGGACTTTAATTTTACCATCCCTCATAACTTTTTTTCCAGCTTCTTTTCGTTGAAGTATGTTATATAGATAAATTTAAAGGGTGTCGAAAAAATGACTTTAGCGAAGTTTCATTGAAATCCGTACATTCGGTTAGGAGCTACAGTCTATAGCAACGCAGGTGTTATTTATTTATTTATTTTTTCTCCTTTATTAATTTATCAAATTCTTTCAAAAGTTATATGTAGTATTTTTTCGTAAATTCTGAATAATGCGAAATGATTAACTTTTTAAAATAAACCATATTAAAGGTACTTTAGAGGAAGACGTATATGAACATTAGGCATTCAAGCCCCGTAAAGTGACATCAACGGGGATAAGACCTAAATTATATTAACGACCACTTAATTATACAATGATACACCGAGTTTAATCAAAATAGTTAGAGCCGTTTTTGTGAAAATTGTAAAAATGTGTTTCAGCGTTCATATAAAGTGGCACTTCCGGTAAACCGATTTTAACGAAAAAGTTACTGTCACATCCGGCTCATATACATACCTTAAATAGTTAATATCAGTTTCGGACTACTTTTCGTCTATGAGCTAGTCTGTTAACACACACACACATACACACTCACACAGAGGTCATTTAGCGACACTTGGTTATTTGGACTCAGGGGACTTCAAATTATGTATTTCCGTTGAAAACTGAGATTCGAAAATCTTCACGATCGCATTACTTACCCCTACTACATATTACATATATACTTTAGTGAAAGTAAAAATCGGTCCAGTAGTCTCGGTTCGGATTTAACCTATCGTACAACGTCAAACCTCAAATTTCAAACGGGATCTTATTAATTTTTTGTCGATTACCATAGATTAGGGATATCCATCGATATCTGAAATATATCGATATTTTCCTTTAAATATTCTATATTTTATCATCGATAGTATTTACTTCAATATTATCTACTATCGATATCGTCCCTTCGATTTATTAATTTAAATATTAATATTAAAATTATCGTTTTCGAAAAGAGCTAACAAATCAAATATGATTCTGATAGTTAAATATATATATATATATAGTATATACTCATCTTGCCGGTTTCATGCAAAATATAATGCGTATTAGAGGGAAATATTGATATTTCATTAATATTGACTATTGATGTCCATCTGTAACTAACTGGCCTTTTCGCTCAGTAAAATAAATTTGCTCAAATTTGTAAGTTGGAAACCTCTCAAACCAAGGCCACGAATTGTCAATGAAATCTATGTAGTATACAGATAAATTAGCATTTCACTGAATCTGGTGAATGAAGGCATATTATTTAAATTAAAATTTCTGGAAAAAAAACTGGGGATATCGAAGATGGATAGAAACTAGAAAATTAATTTTACTAAGCAGGGTAGAAGGATTTATATTTATATTAAACGATTTAAAGAGAAAAAAAAAACGTATTAGTTTATTATTTTCAATAATCAACCATCGTGATCGACCAAAAAATTCAAAAACTTAACCTCCTCTCAAAATTTGAGGTTTCACGTTTCAGGATGCGTACAATTCGAAAAACGAATAAAATGTTTTTGTCCGTCAGCCTTCCACCGTTTTATCCGAAACTACGGGACCGATTTTTTAAAAATTTGGATATAAAATCTGAGGTCACCCGAGTATGATCGTCCTTCATTGACTCCTAAACGAATGTA